TTGGTAATAACTTTCATTTAAAGTCACAGTTTATTTACTCAGGAGTTCAGTGAAACCTGAAAAGTCTAAAAATGTCAGTAAACTTTTAATGAACCTTCCTAATAACTTAGTTTAGTCAAAGAGCCTGAAATAATAAAAACTTTCAGACTTTTTAAATCCTGATCATTAAAATGGTACAGATCTCCAATGATCATAAAAACAATCTTAAATTTATATCCAACATCAAATCAAAAAACTCGATGGAAATATCCAAATTAAATTAAATAAATGACAAAAACAATTAAAAATAATAAGATTTACAAGTAAATTACCAACATTTAGTGTTGAAAACGATGACATGCATGTGAGAAAAATCTAATTTTTGACATAAAATGCAAAAAAAATAAAGTTTATTTGTTTTTACTTTTCCTGAACTCATTTATTTGTAATAATTTATTTTACTGATGTTTCTTACACGTTGTAACACTTTTATATAATTTATGCCTCACAATTGTAGACATTTAACTACATTAACTGGACCTAAATCTGCTGTGGTTAGTGTTTTTCTTTTAAGGATCACTTCAAATGTCTGTATGTTGGTGAGAAGGTTTGTGGAAGTGAGGTGGTCATCACAGCTGTTTCTAAAAGCAACTCAAGTCAAACACAACGTGAAGAAGTTTACAGGCATTACTTTACTCTTTCGTTGGCCTGATCTGGTGAGGCTTGTTGTGTCTGTGGACCGGCAGTCAGAATATGAAGAGCATTTTGTTTGTTTGTTTGTACAAACAGCTGAACTTCATATTTACCTTCACATCTGTTGGGAAGATGAACCCACTCATCGTCGCCTTCTGGTTTAGCTGCTCCCACCGACGAAATTATCACCAAAAACACCACTAAATTCATCCTGGCTGCTCAGCTCGGCTCGTTATCTCCTCATAAAATCATTTCAAACGTTAAAAATCATTTCCAGAAAACCGTTATTCCCTCGTTTTACATAATCGGCTCTGAAAGCTCTCACAGGTGATGAAAATACGCCAGCATCCACTTCCGCTTTGGGCGTTGCGCACTCTAAAATTCTGACCAATCAGAGAACAAGAAGTGGCAGCGGATTGACCAATGAGAGGCAGAGAAGGGCCAGAGAGCAAATAAACAGTAAGAGGTATCACTTCTTACCTTTTTAACTTAACATTAACTCAAAACCTGATTATATGATGCATGCTCAATAATCCAGGTAGAAAAATCTAAAAAAGTTAAATCTAAATCTAATAACAATCAATAATAATAATTATGAAAACCTAATAATTATCAAAATCTGATTATTTAGATACTTTCTATTTACCCACTGACACTTGAATTGTGAAAAGATAAACTGGTAACTGTTGTGTTAAAAATAAAATAGTCCTTCAGACTTTTACATTTGTGTTTGAATTTTTCATTGTGCTGCAGCCGCACACAGCTGCTCAACTAGATTTGAAAAATCAAAAGTGTAGTTTTTAAATCCCGATCATTAAAATGGTACAAATCTCCAAATACAAATCTTTGTGAGGTAGAAAACAAAACTGATTATTTCCAAACAGTATTTGGACACTTTAATAGGATTACAAGACCATCTGGTTGCTCTAAGAAAGCAATTAATATGTAATCCAGACAAAATGTATGTTATAATGGAAGATACTTTTATTAGATTCAGGAACAAACTCGAAACTAAATTTTAACAATATATTTTATTTACTTTCTTGATCGAAAATCTATCTGGGATAGAATTTTTTTTTTTTTTTTTATATATATTTAAATTTTGTTTAATTTCTAAAGCGTTCATTTTTATGAGTAGTCACTCATCGTTTCTTTTATTCTGATCTTTGAGTTCAACATCCGGTGCCTGTGAGCCTCAGTCTCATCCAGCAGAGGAGGCTGAGCACACATCTACAGATCTTTAAGACATTATTTGCTATGTAACGTATGTTACTTTAAAAAAAACATGTGTTTTGTCAACATCTGCCCACAGTTAATGGAGTAAAACAACAAATATAATCTCGGTTTGTGTACATGTGTGGTGTTTGTTGTAAACATCACCTGTGTAGATTTATAATTGATTAAAGTTGATTCAGTTTAATGCCAGCTGCACACTTAAATGATTTAAGTGAGAAGAATGGTAAAAAGCAACACATAAAAAAAAAAAAAAGTTTTAAATAATCTGAAAACACTTGCACACTAACAAACCTTCAAGTACAAAAGTATAAAACACTATCAAAAACTAGATATAATAGATAACAGATTTTACAGATTAATTTTAATCTAAAGTTGACTAAGTTTGGACCTCACACTGATTGATGGCTGTCACGAACATTTGAGCTTTGAAAACACAACAAATGTCGACAACTCGGCCAATTTTGCGCACAACGAGCTGAAATTTGGTGTGGTAGTAGCTGAGAGTCACTCACAGCCAACACATACTGTGAGCGCTAACAGATCACGCAAGATCGTTCATGGTTTGACCAAAACGACGACGACTCCTTCACTGCTCAACATGTGATCGTCTTGTCAGTCAGGTTTGTTTGAAACGCTCAGAAAAACGTCTTAACTCCCACTTAATTTAGCTCCAAAACGTTTGTAGTCTGATTTAAGGCGTTCCCAGACTGTGTAGACTGGAAACTTGTTTGCATGTGTGGGAACCAGGGGCGGTTCTAGAATCTGATCTGCTGGGGTGCCCCCAGCACTGATGGTGGCTCTTGGCTTGAACAACATGTCCATTGGCGTCTGAAGCATTTGTAATATTGGGGGACACACTGGTGGTGGTGGTGGGGGGGGATGGTCTCCCAGAAAATTTTGAATAAAGTAAATTCCATTTCCTGCATTCTGGTGTATTTTAACGGTTGTTTAACATCCATGTTTACCTACATCAGTAAACACTCGATTCAATAACTATTTTAGAGTTAATGGCACAACAAGAAGCTAATATTACTACCTGTGAAATACTTTTACTAATTCATCCGACTTGCACTGTTATATTTTACCACGTTGTTGTTTACTTTTTTTTTTTGACTTTGTAAATATTATCTGAATTTGTCCACTTTGATCTCTTTTAAGGGATTTTAAACGATTGTTATGGTCAATAGAAAAATCAAAGCAAATGTGTTCTTGTTTGTAATTACCTTGTTTTAAAAGGCACCTTGATTTATTGTTTTATAACACTGCGTTTTATTTTAATTGTATTTTATGGTTTATTGTTGTCTATACTTTATATGTTAAGGTCTCTCTTGTAAATGAGTCCTTGTGACTCACTGAGACTAGCCTGTAAAAATAAAGGTTGAATTAATTATATTTCTTTTCACTTTTTGATACTTTATTTTGTACTTTTATTGCATGTGTTAGAATTTCTTGTTTTATTAATTTATTTTTTCTAACTGAATCGGTTCTTCTCATCCTGAACACTTCATTGCATTGTTGACCTTGTGTTAACTTGCATATGACAAACATAACATAATGAGAAGTAGCCTGACCAACAGCTCTCCTTGTGTGAATAGAGCACGCTCTGCTCCTCCCACACATTTTAACCCCTCCCCCCCACCACCCCTCCAGCTCCTGCAGGTAAGGGACATTTCACTTTGGGACAATCACTGGTTGGTCAAATGCTGATGAGCCTACTGGATTGATTGACAGGTGGTGTTGAGGATTCGACCCGTGCAAAAAAATCATAGATTTTTCTGGCCCGTTTGTGTCATCATTTATTCCATATTTACCGTATTTTTCAGACTATAAGACGCACCGGATTATAAGGCTCTGTTGATTTTTCAGAAAATTAAAATATTTTAAGTGCGCCTTATAGTCTGAAAAATACGGTATTCCAAAATGTCTTCAGTATTTTTGGTGAATCTAAGGTTTGAGAACTAAGCTTTCTTTCAAAATCGTAATTATGTTTGTTCAATTTTTGCTGAGTTCAAATTTAGGGGTGCTTGAGCACCCCCAGAAAGAGGCTAAGATGGCCACTGGTGTGAACGATTCACCCGCGTGCGCCCGAACGCATCTGAGTGAACCTCAGTGTGAGCAGAAGAGATTTTCACAGCGAGATGAGAGCGTTTCTCAGCAGCTCAACGATAGGACGCTTTCCCTGAGAGGTGCTTCAGAGCTGCCTGCCAAAAGGACAGTCAGCTCCACACACACACACGCACACATGCACACCAGTGCGTGTCTCATAGCAGGACTTGACACCGAGTTGGTGGAGGTCAGGTTGATGCAGAGGGAGAAAGAAAAGATGAAAGCTGGTTTTCATGCAGCCACGCAGCCCACACAGCAGGCGAAAGCAGGGCTTTGTTGGAATAAACCTCTCACATGCGCTCCTTTTTAGCCGTTTCTTGAATAAAATAACAGATTACACAGCAGGCTGTTGAAAAGCGCCATCGCTGCCGGCCTGAAAAGAGGCCGCTTTCATCAGTTTAAATTGACGAGTGCTCAAACGCACGGTGACGGGAACGAGACGTGAACTCAGGATTGTGTTCAAACAAAACTGCTTTCATCTGCAGCTGATCTTTACTGATCTGCTGCGAATGCTCCCCCACTTCTGCTGCGAAGAGCTTCTGGTTGGAAAAAGGAAAAGACGGTGAATGTGTCTGCTCACCTGGTGGTCACAGTCAGCATCAGACACGTTTTCACTCAGAGGCAGAACAATCGCAACAAAAAGTTCAGACATGTTGAACATAAGCATGTAAATAAGTGTG